CTTGGTCTTGTACTTGATGTCGGACTCGTAGGTCTTCTTCGTGAGCTTGTTTTCCATGCTGACCTCAGGAGGGGGAAGGCGAACGGAGAGGGAGATGCGGTAGAGAGAAGGGGGCAGGGAGGCGGGGAGCAGGGGGGGTCCGGCAGGTTCACGACAGGTGGGTTGGCTTCGGACCTTCCAACCTTGAGCGATCACAGCGCTTCGACAGCGCCATCGTTCGACATCGGCTCATTCGGGGCCGCTGGCAACGTTCAGCACTCAACGATCGAGCTGGGGCCGCCGCGGCGTCGGCACGACGCGAGCCTACCGTTGGGGAATGCTGCCTTCCCCCCCACTCCACTCCCTCATAGATGACTCCTCCCCGTCGCACCCCGAGGCCCGTCCGAAGGGCGGGTCGGGCGTTTCGCCTGAGACTTCTCTACCACTTCTGATCCTGGGGCCTGAATATCGGCAGCAATGTCACAGATGTAGGGCGGGTGTTTTTAAAAATGTGGATTTCGCCTCAGAGCCGGGCGCATTCGTCTTCAAAACCTGTAAAAGCTTAACAGATGGAGGGCGGGTGGTTTTCGAAATGTACCTCTAGCCTTAGCGCCGAGAACACTCGTCGTCAAATTTGCAAGAGTTTCACACATTGAAGGCGGCCGGTTTTCAAAATGTGGCTCTCGCCTCAGCGCCGCGCACATTCGTCTTAAAATATTGCCAGAGTTTCACGAACTGAGGGCGACACACTCGTCTTCAAAATTTGCAAGAGTTTTGCCAATTGAAGGCGACTGATTTTCAAAATGTGGCTCTCGCCTCAGCGCCGCCCACATTCGTCTTAAACATTACCAGAGTTTCACGAATTCAAAATGTGGCTCTCGCCTTAGCGCCACGCACACTCGTCTTCAAAATTTGCAACAGGAGTCTCACGAACTGAGGGCCGCTCTTTTCAAAATGTGGCTCTCGCCTTAGCGCCGCGCACATTCGTTTTTGCAACTTTCGAGAATTTCACAAGCTCCCATGGTTTACGTACCGGTAACAATGCTTTGAAACGCTTCAGGACTATCAGAGCGCAGAAATTACGTAGATTCGGGGTGTTGAATTCCCAGGAATGGTGTTCTGGCAAGATTTGGAATCGTCTCCCAAGAATGGAGTTTCGGCACGCTTCAGGATGTTCGAACAGTTGCCCCGCAACGGGGAGCTTGGAAGGGGGGGTATTCCAACATCGTTGATGAGTCTTGGCTTTACACTGGTCCTCCTCCTCCCCCTCCTCCAGTTTCTCCCTCTCCCCCTCTCCCATCGCCCCTCCGCCCCCTCCGCCCCCTCTGCCCCATCATTGCCGCTCCTCGCCCCTTCCCTGCTCCCCGATCCTCGCCGCGGGCGGAAGGGCTGGGGTTCTCCCAGCCGACCCGCTGGTACTCAGCCTGCGCCGTGTCCTCCGTCGTTTCGGCCTCCGCCCGGCTGGGGGGAAGAGGAGGAGTTGGAGGAGGAGGAGGAGGAGGAGGAGGCGGAAAAGGAGGAGGAGCAAGGAATGATGCAGACTCCATCCCATACGTGTCTTTCCATCTGTCTCGCTGAGCTTGGGCAACGAGCCCGAGCCTGAAGGCAGCGAGCAAGCGAGCGAGGGTGAGAAGAGAGGAGTCAGGAGGGAGGAAGAGGAAGGAGGAGGAGGCGACTGAGGAGGGATAAGGAGGAGGAGTAGGATGGGGAAAGGGACGAAGAGGACGAGAATGCGGAGGAGGAGGAGAAGAAGGAGGGGAAGGGGAGGGAGGGAGAGGAGGAAGAGGATGGGGGGAGGAGGGGTAGGAGCAAGAAAAGAGGGGTGGAGGAGGAGGAGGAAGGTGAGGAGCGAGAAGGGGGAGAGGGGGGGAAAGAGGAGAGTCTTCAGGCAAGAGGAGGGGAGAGAAAGTAGGTCCCTGAAGGGGCCCAGGGACACACAAAGAAATAGCACAAATCCCAGGATGCCCCCTATTTTCCCATATTGCTTTTTCCCCTCTGGAAGCCCCCCTCCCCGCCCTTGACTCCCTGCCCCTCCTCGATGCACGGAGGTCCCGTGACACAGAGCCTAGTAAAGAGTACACCAGTATGACGTTTCACGCCTCGAATCGCCATGCCGCACTGTAACGCAACCTGGCTCGAAGTGCACCGGCACTGGCGCGCTCCATGTTTGAAGGATCCGTCGCGGCAGCACGCAATACTCAAATGGTGCTGCCTCGGGCGGCACGCTGCGATAGAAAAGGATCATGCCGCGCAAATCAGACCGGGGGGCGTGCCTCCGCCAGCGACTTGCTGAGATCCGACTCCACCACCTGCGCCGCCGCCGTGGCACGCCGCCGCCGTCCACTACCGCCAGGGCTCGAGGAATAAGCTTGCAGAATGAAGGCTGCGTTGGGGCACTCTTCGCCCTGCCCTAGGGCTGCGAGACGAAGCCAGGACAGGGACAACACGGGACAGGGATCAATCTGGGATCTCTGAGATCCGGCGGCTCTGGAAGATGTATCGGGCGCCGCGGCCTTCTCAGGGCGCTCCCGAACGCTCTGGAACGATTTACCCTACCTCCGAGGAGGGTCCGAGTATGATGCACCCTGGGCGGCCATGCCAACGTCAGTCAGAAGTCTCTCAAAAACATGTTATGCTCAGCCCACTGGACCTATCAAACACACGTTTTGAACAGCTCGCCCAGCAAAAGCCTCACGACACTGCGCTGCACATTCAACGGCCTTTCGGGACCCACCCACGATCCTCTCAGAGCCTCTCCAAAGGCTCGGGACCCTCTAAGGAACCTCCGATTAGCTTCGCAGAAGCCTCAACAAAGCCTATCGAGACGCCTCTCAGGAACCTCCCAGGAACCTCTCAGAAGCCTCTCTGGAGGTTCTCGGGACCCTCGCAATAGCCTCTCACGCGCCTCTTCAAGAGCCTTTCAAGAACTTTTCAAGAACCTCCCAGGAGCCTCTCAGGAGCCTATCAGTAGCCTCTCGGGAACCTCTTGGAACCCACTCAGATCCCTTTTCAAAACCCTCTCAAGCGGGCCCATGCCCCTCCCAGGCCCCTTTCAGGACCCTCTCGGGACCCTCCCAGACTCTCCGAGGAGCCTCTCAAGAGCCTAACCTCAGGGAGCCTCTCAGGACCCTCTCTGGGGCCTCTCAGGAGCCTCTCAAGAAGCCTCTCAGAACCCTCTGACTGCGACGGCGACGACCTCAACGACGGCTGCGACGGCCTACGAGGAGCCTCTCAAGAGTCTCTCGGGAGCCTTCAGGACTCCTTCGGGGGCCTTTCAAGAGCCTTTCAGAAGTTCCCCCGGAACCTCCCAAGAGCCTCCCAGAGACCTATGAGCATTTCGGCATCCTTCTGTAGGGGTGCTTCGCCAGGATCCAATGTTATTCGACTTCCCCTCGTCGTCGAAGCGGACGACACAGGCAGCGACGCTTCCCGTCATCCTCCTCGACGCCACCACCCGCCGCCCGCGTCGCCCGCGTCGCCGACTCCGCCATCGCCACAGCCGTCGTCATGGTCGGCCATATTGCCATCCCGCGCCGTCGACGTCGCTGCACGCGCCGCAAGCCGCCACTGGCCGCCGCCGACTGCCGTGGCTGTCACCGGTCGCCGCCGCCATCGACCCCCGCCAGCCGCCAGCTGGCCGCCCGCCGCCGCCAGGCGCCGATGGTCATCGCCGCCGCCAACAGCCATCTCGACGTCGTCGTGACCACGTCGACGCAGTCGTCGACGCCTCCGTCGGCCATGTCGACGTCGGCGGCGTCGTCGCCGCGGAGGCGCAAGGCCTCGAGCAGGCCGATGATGGAGCTGCCAGCCTCGGATTTGCCGTGAGGCGCGTCGGCCTCGACAAAGGGGGCGTCGCGGCGGGGGTGGGCGGCGGCGCTGCGGGGGAGGGGGGGCCCCAGGACGGGAGGCCCCAGGAGGGGGCGGAGAGGAATCGGAGGTCGTCCCAGGAGGGGGGGGGAAGCCCCAGCAGGGGAGGGGAGTAGACCCCAGGAGGGATAGAGGTGGAGGTGAGGCAGCGCGGGCGCGGGAGCGGGAGGTGCTTTTTGGGAGCGGGGGAGCAAGCGAGGCCCCAGGAGGGGGAAGCGGGCGGGAAGACGGGGGGCAGGAGGGGGCGACGACGACGACGACGACGACGACGACGACGACGACGACGACGACGACGACGACGACGACGACGACGACGGCGGCGGCGGCGGCGGCGGCGGCGGCGGCGGCGGCGACGACGACGCAACGACGACGACGCCACAACGACGACGACAACGGTCACGGACGACGACGACGACGACGACGACGACGACGACGACGACGATGACGACGACGACGACAGCGGCGGTGGCGGCGGCGGCGACGAGCACAGCAACGACGACAGCAACGACGACCGCAACGACGACGGCAACGACGACGACGACGACGACGACGACGACGACGACGACGACGACGCTGGCGGCGGCGACGACGACAGGTCTGGAATTTTTGTCGGTTCTGGCGGTTCTGACGGCGCCGCGGGGGGGCGAGGCTCACTCCCCCACGGCGGGCAGCGCGCGCGGTCGCCGAGCCGAGGCCCTAGCGCGCACGCCGCCCCGCAGGCCGACCCGCTCCGCCAGCCCCAGAACATGGCGCTGGCGGTGAAGGCCAGCCCTCATCCTCCTCTGGCCGCCAGGGTCTGGCGGCCCTCCGCGCCCAACCGCGACCTTGTGCACCCTTGGCGCGGCGCCTCGCCGCCGCCGATCCTCCTCCTGCCTCGCAAGCGACCCTGGCCCTTCCACCTCGCCTCAGCCTCCTCTGGCCGCCCTCGGCGTCGCGGCCCGCCGCCGCGCCCGCGCCCCAGGGCGCCTCCCAGCAGACCGCTCTTCCAAGCCCTCCCGCATGGCCTCCAGAGCCGCCGCCTTCATCTCGGGCGCCATGCTGGACTCCACGACGGTCCGCCGCCACTCCGCCCGTGGGCACTGGTCCCCACAGGTGGCGTCCATCCCACGGAGCAGAGCGCGCACCTCGTCGCTTTCGGCGCCGCCCACCTCGAGCACCAGGGCGTTTGTGAAGCCGTTCTGGCCGCCTCGCACTGCTCCCTGGCCATTTCCTGCTCCTGCTGGGCCACCTCCAGCGCGTGCCTGAGTTGCTTCACGCTGCCTTGCCGCAGTTGCTTCACAGCGCCGCCAGGGCCGCGCTGGCCTGCTCGGCGACCTCGCGCTGTGCGCCGCGGATCGCCTCGGCGAACAGCACGTCGTCTGACTACGCGTCCTGCTTGTCGTTTCTCTTGTTTGCCCTTTTTCACCTTCAGCGGAGGGGCCGCCGCTGGCGTCGGCGAGGGCGCAGCCGCCGCGCACGGCGCCCGCGCACCGCGCGCCGCCGCAGCCGCCCTCCGGCCCAGCCAGCCGCGCCAGCACCGCTGCACCTCACCAGCAACGACGGCTCGTGCAGCGTCCGCCCGCCGCACGGCCTCAGCCAAGGCCCAAGCCTCCGCCGTGCGTGCCGCGAGCCTCTGCGCCGCCTCTTCCCAACGTGCCGCGCGCTTGCCCTTGCCCCGCATGATTTCCAGCCGTCGCCGACCTCGCTCGCCACCTTCACACGCTGGCCCGCGGCCTCCCGCGCGATTTCACCCGTGCCCCTGCCGAGGTCCTTCCCCTGGCTGGGGGAGGCGGCGGCCGCAGTGCCCTTGCCAGCCGCCTCGGGCCCCATGGCGGCCTCGGGCTCCGCTCCCAGGCCGACCTCGGCGCACGCCGCGCTGCCCCAAATGTGCAGGATGACGCCGAGGAGTTGCGCGGCCCCCGGCGCTCCGCCCTGCGGGTTCCAGCATGCGCAGCCGCAGCCTGAGCACCATATGCCCCCAGCTGGGAGCGCCCGCCTGCCGCCCCCGCAGCCCAGCTCCATCGCGCGCGGCCCGCCGGCGGCGCTAGTCCCAGCACGAGCACTGCTCGCGCCGAAACTTGAGCCAAAGTGGCTACAAACGACGACGACGACCACCACCACCACCACCACCACCACCACCACCACTACCACGACAACGACGCCGACGACAGCGACGACGAGCGCCCCCCCACCCACTCCTTCTCCTTTTCCTCCTCCTCCTCCTCCTCCTGCCTCTAGCCGTTCTGGGGCGAGCCAGGTGCTCGCTCTTGCGGGTGCAATCTTCAGAGCGGCGTGCCCCCGCGGGCCGATGGCGAATGGAGTTGCAGGAGGCACGCGCGGTGCCAGCCAGGGTGGCGACCCCTGGACGTGCCGCTCGTGTGCTGCTGGTTACGTCAACATGGCATGGCGCACGGAGTGCAGGCTCTGCAAGGCGGCGAGGCCGCCACGTGGCGCTGGCACGATCGGCGAGGCCATCAACAAGGCCAAGGCGAAGGCCAAGGCCAAGGGGAAGGAGAAGGTCGTGGCGAAGCGCGTGCGCTTCGCCTCGGACGTGCCTGGGCCTGCCGCCGCCGCGGCCACGCCGGCGCCGTGGGCGCAGGGCGCGGCCAAGCGGGAGGCGGAGGAGCGGCCCAGCGGCAGCGGCGGCAGGGACGAGGAGGTTCGCCAGGCCCTCCTCCGCCACTTTGGCCCCAGGGAAGGCTGGTCGGCGGCCCTGGTCCAGGACTTCGGGGCCCTGGTGCCTGTGGTGGACGCGCCGCCGCCAGCGAAGCCCTTGGCCGAGCTGTCGCTCCAGGCCCTCCTGGCCAGGGAGGCGAAGATCAAGGGCCAGGTCAGCCGTGCCGAGGCAGCGCTGGCGGCCGTCCGGGAGGAGCAGGCGGCCGTCGCGGTCCGCGCGGCGGAGCAGGCGGACGTCCTCCAGAAGCGGCGCGACCAGCTGGAGGAGGTGGCCGAGGCTGTGCGCGCGAGGAAGCGCGCTGACCTGGAGCAGCACAAGGGGCCGTCGCCCATGGAGGTGGGCGAGCCCGTGGAGGCCGAGGACTGCCTGGGCAAGGTGCTGCTCCAGGGCCTCGAGGGCCTCGAGGCGGAGCGGGAGAGGGTCCTCTTGCTCGGCGAGGAGGGCGGCGCCCTGCTCGCGATGGCCGCCGAGGCCCGCAGCCTCGTGGAGAAGCTCGCCGCCGCCGACGCCCGTGCTCGAGAGGCAGCGGCGGCCGAGCGGGCCCGCGCTGCTGCAGCCGCGGCCGAGCGGGCCGCCGCGGCGCAGGAGGCCGCCCCCGCGGCTGCTGGCAGTGATGACGGCGCTGATGGTTCTCCTGGGGACCGCAAGCGCGTCGGCGACCTCGACCTTGGCCCCGAGCTCGTCGGGCTCGACGCCGTGTTCGACGAGGTGGGCATGGAGGGCGAGCAGCAGCGCGCAGCCTGGCGCGCAGCGCTGGCCAAGCGCCAGCGGGCGGCAGGCCCCGCTTCTGGGTAGCCGCCCGCGGGCGGCGGACGTGGTGGAGCTGGTATCGGCCAACGCCACCGCGTGGGGCTCGGCGCAGGCGCTGGTCGAGTGGCTGCACGACGACGTGGGGCGGCTGCCTGCGGTGCTCTGCCTCCAAGAGCATCGCCTCAAGGGCAAGCAGGCGATGGCCCGCGCGGCGGGCTGGATGCAGGCGCGCGGCTTCAGCTGGCATGGCCAGGCAGCGCTGCCGACGGGCTCAGGGCCGCTGGAGAGCTCGGGCGGAGTGGCCGCGGCCACGCTGCGGCCGTCGGCGGCCGCCGCCGCGCCAGGGCCCCCTGCCCATCGGTTCCAGGTGTGTGAGGTGAACCTGGGGTTCAGGGAGCCGTGCCGCGCCATCTCGGCCTACTTCATCACGAAGATAGGCAGGGCGAAGGAGAACATCGGGCTCCTGGCAGCGCTGCACGAGTTCGAAGGGCAGCTGGAGTCGCCGTGGGTCGTGATGGGCGACTGGAACATGGAGCCCGTGGACGTCCATGAGTGGGCGCGCAGCGCAGGCGGTGCGCTCGTGGGCCCAGAGGAGCCGACCTGCGGCTCGAGGGTATTCGACTTCGCGGTGGTTAGCAGGGTCCTCACGGGCATTGCGGGCGTGGTCGAGGTGCTGCTGAGGGCGCCGACGAAGGACCACGTGCCGTTCAAGGTGGTGCTCCGCGGCGTAGGGCCCGAGGCGAAGGTGCAGCGGCCGCTCTTCCCTGCGGCCTTCCCGCTGCCGCTGCCGCCGCCGGTGTGGCCAGCGCCGCTCGAGCGCCCCTTCTCGGCCTGGAGGCCTGAGGGAAGGCAGTCGCTCGAGGAGGGCTGCCAGGAGTGGTTCGAGGCGGTCGAGGCCCACCTGATCGACCTCTACGAGATCGCGCCGCCCAGCCGCTGGAAGGGGCGCGCGGGCGGGCTTCGCACGCAGAGGGTCGTGATGGAGGTAGCCTGGAAGCAGGACTGCAAGAGGAGCGTCGGCGCTGCCTGCAGGCGCTGGATGTCGTTCGCGGCGGCATGCGCCCGCTGGCGCGCGCTGCAGGAGGCGGCGCCTGGAGGGCGCTGCTGGGCGCCGCTGCGCAAGCAGCAGGAGGTGCTGATGGCGTTCGAGCTCGAGTGGCCAGAGGATGGCCCGCTGGCAGAGCTGTCAGTGGCCCGCGTGATGAGCTTGCTCAGCTCCTCCTCGTGCCAGCTGACGGTGCAGTTCGTCCAGGAGGAGGCGAGGCGACGCTGGAGGCTGGACAAGCAGCGGAAGGCCGCGGAGTGGCGCGCCTGGGCTCAGGCTGCGGCCACCGAGAAGGGCGGCTCGGCGGCCTACCGCTTCATCAAGCAGGTCGCGGTGGTGCCCACGGAGGTGCTCGCGGGCGTGGACGGCAGCGACGACCTGCGCATGCCCGTCGCGGGCGAAGCTGCAGTGGCGGCGCTGCTGGAGGCGTGGCAGCCGCCCTGGGCCAAGCCGTCGCGGGCAGGCGAGGCAGCGCCCGAGAACTGGGACATCCAGGAGTCGGTGCTGCCGCCGCTGGA